TTAGTACCAGAAGTACATGAAACACCAATTCAAACTGTAACCAAAAGCTTAGTGAGTTCCCAAAATACCACATAACATACAATCACAAAATACCACGCAACATACATATGATTGTCATGGGTTATCCCCATTGTTTTTTCCCTGGAACGTGATGAGCTACCTCCATGGTCTAACATCCAAGTGTCATGGGCTACCCTCATGGTCTTCCATGTCATGGGCTACCCCCATGGTCTTCCATACAAGTGTCACGGGCTACCCCCGGGATCTTCAGACAAGTAAGCACAGACAATTATTAATTCCACATGTCAAGTAATGGGTCGGCATTGGTGCCTTTGACCCATTGGTATAGTGAGAGACTCACCTCGATCTGCTGATAAATACTAACTGCTCGGCTATCGATCCGACAATCTCACACTGAATATACACAAATTACCCTCATCAAAATTATGACACAAACCCAAATCATGGGCCCAACATCCCTAAGTCCAAACTCCTCAAATAAGGCCCAAAAGCCTTTCTCCTTTAATAGGCTTAACTATCCCTGGTCCAAAAGCGATAACGGGCCACCAGGCCCAAAAAGCCCAACAATGCCACCTAAGGTCCAACAAGTTCAAAGGCTCAATCCACTCTAACAGATCAAGGCCGAAAGGTTATAGGTCCCAAACGAATCAAAAGCCCAACGCAAGCCCAAAAGCTCACTGGGAGCGTATGCGGGACGTAATCCAAGAACTCACAGCGTACAAGCCTGCCATATAGTACGCGCTGTGTACACCTCCGTACGCTCGGCGTACTTCCTAGCTTAACCCAAACTGCCAGTTGGCTCTTAACCCATGCAGGCAATCAATTCCAATACCACATCTCAATTAGAATAAGGGTCTTAGAGCATAAAGCTGGCAACTTTATGCTTTAACATGACTTATGGGAGCAAAATATCTATTTTAGTCCATCAAAGCTCACTTAAAGGTCCTAAACTCATGCATGGCTTCAAACCCATCAAAAAGATTACATTCTTATGCTTCTAACATGCCAAAGGAACTAAGATCTAGCAATTCTATCCACTGGAGTTGCCCAAACCCACAAATAAGATTCCATGAACCCAAAAATGTCCTTTTAGAAAACCCTAACTCTAATAATCAAAAGGATCAGCAAGGTAGAAGCTTTTTACCTCCAAAAGCTTCCCAAGATGATGTAGACTCAGGATCTTGAAGCCAAGCTACGTCTAAGGCTTGCTCACCAACTTCTTCCTCTTGCAAACACACCAAAAAGAACCATTAATGTCAATTTTAAGCTCGAAGATCACACACAAGGGTAACTAGGGTTTTAGGGACGTTCAAAGGCAGTGGAGGCTGGTAAGAAAGAGAGTCCAAGGTCATATGAACTTAAATAGGGCTCAAACCTTAAGATTAGGGTTTTAGTGGAAATCTACGTACACCCCGTGTACACTCTGTACGCCCAACGTAAGTGGCCCTTGTTGGATTAGTGTCTAAGCCCGTAACTATATTTGGTATGTACTTGAACCGGTTGTGCATGGTCCTTTTGGGTTGCCTTCACTAGAGCAACTTGACAGGGTGATTTGTGGAGAGAGAGAGAGAGGGAGGTTATTATGGTTTATTAATATATTATATATGAATAATATATTAAAAGAGAAATCATATACTTTAATTAATATTAGACAAGAATTAATTTTGTAGCTAAAAGACATTAATTAAATAAAGGGGACTTAAACTGTCAAATGTGTGATAGTTAAATATTGGGCTGAGAAACCTTATAGGTTAGGCATAGACGAAATTATGGATGTGCCCATCCTAATTTCGGCCATAAGGGTCCTATTCCAGAAGCTTCCTTGGACTGCTTAAGGCCTAAGTTGTCCATTAGGGTTTTGACTGAAACCCTAGCAACACAAGTATAAATAGAACCCTTGGGGCATCAGTTTTTGGCCACTTGAAACCCTAGAAGAGTTCATAGCCGAAATTGTGCCTCTCCCCTCTCTTCAATATCATCCTCTTGCTTGTGTGGTGTTTGTAAGCCATTAGAGGAGTGATATTTGTGACTCTAAGCTCCAAGACAAGAAGATTCAAGCCATTGTTGAAGAGGTAATCATATAGATCTGTTTCATATGGTAATTTCGAAACATGTATGTTAGATCTAGGGTTGATAAGTCGGGATGAATTGCATGTACAATAGAGAAACCTAGATCCAATCTTTAGGGTTTGCATGAGCACATAGGATGTTCTTTTAGCTCAAACCCATCAGTGGTATCAGAGCCTTGATTGGTTTTTATTGTATTTGATGCCTAGTATTTCATTCATGCTTTAAAAATTCATTTTTTTGGCCCTCTGACTGACGAACTCGACGTCTCCACATTGGGAACTCGGCGAGTTAGGCTGTCAGATAGAGGATATCTCAGGATTTCTTGCTGTTTTGCTGAAGGATAATTACCAAAAGTGTTTTTGACTAATAAAATCCAATTTTTATTATTTATGTGATTATCCTTACCAAAACAAAAGATAATTACCAATTAATTGAATAATAAATTCCTTATGTGATAAAAATTGATTATTTAAATTATTTGATGAATTATCTTGTGAAGAAAATGGAATAGGTCAAATTTAGATAATCATTAAATTAAATGTTTAATTTAAATTATTTGCTATTTGATCCTATGTGTTTTGAAAAGTTGAAAACTTGTCCTCAAGTTTTGAAATTTAAATTTTAATTAAAAGTTTAATTTGAATTATTTAAATTTCAAACCCTAGAATTTTACAAGTTTAAAATTCAACCTTATACTTTATTTATTATAAGATTAATATATATGTATAACTTAAATGTTAGTATTACCGTTAGTAGGCCTCATTCACGAAGTCGATCTATAAGAGGGGGGGGGGGGGGGGATAAGGTTATGGCCTATAAAATGGTCGTTTAATGGGTGTTCACTCTCACCCACCGCTTCCTTGATTGGTGGAGGGTCGTTAGCTGAACGGGTAGGATAGGGAAACCCTTTTCTCATTAAAAGTATAATGTATTAATAAAGTAACTAAATGTTTTTACAAAATTCCCAATCTTAGTTACTTTAGGAAAAAGTGAATTGATGCAATTCCATGAATTACACTTTGTACCCTTGCTAAGACGTTAGTAGGGCGTGTGTGGTTAACCGGCACATTAAGTGGACTCTAAGCAAAGGTGGAAAGGGTGACTCGATGTTTTTCATAGTTCGATGGAGCGTGTGTGGTTAACCGGCACATCGAATAGGTGACTGTAACATTAAGGGCACCATGTACATTTGCATGGTTATTCACACCCGCTTTGTGATCCTTGGCTTCCACCGTAGTGACCATGATTGTTGATTGACCAGCTGTTGGCGGGAGATGGAAGTGGCAAGTTGTTTAAGAAAAGTTGTATGAGATTAAGGTGGGAACCTTTTTTTAAGTAAGGGTATCAATGTTTCGACGGACTGATGTTTTAGGGCAGGAAATGGTCTATTAAATACAACAATGGAAACGAAAAGTCAAATCTTAGAGCCTACATTTGGAATGAAGCGATGTCGTTTTAATTTGGTGGTTGGAATAGTTCGTCTGTTCCACGTACGCTCCAGGTTATGACTGAGTGGACTAAAGTGGGTGTCGTGGCATTTCTAGTCTACATGTCAACAAAAACCAATGAAAATAAGTTAGGAAGACTAAAACAACAAGTCTCCCACAACTTCCTTACCACATAAAGCCAAGAAAATAATTTAGGGACTCAACGGGTAAACCCTAAAAAGTTCGTAGGACATTTGTGTTATTTCCCCACACATGAATTATAAATTTCATACCTATTATATTTCTCTAAATCCTTAGCAAGTATATGCCATCTAAAGTCTTTCTTTTACCTTCCAAAAAATCCTTCATAGAAAATGTGAAGTAAATAGGTTCTTACAACATCCTTGTTTGATATGTGGAAAAAAATATCGTTATCGATAAGTTGATCCAAATCACCAATTTAAACGAGTTATATGTTTGGTACCAAAAACAACGATTGTCAAAACATTGAATCAATTTGGTTGATTTCCTTATTTACATACAGATGACATGTGTCGAATTTGAATATGGTGAATAACACAATTCCACCCATCGAACATCATCGTTTTCTCACCAAATAAAAATCATAAACGCTCATGTGTGACTAAATCAGCATCTGGTCAAGCCTCGTGCGACATCACCATGTAAATAAGGATTGATCCCTTAGCATTGGGTACGTCCACCCATCAAAATAACTTAAGCCTTCTTCTTATTAAACGGTCTATAGTTTGTCTAGCATTACATACATTGGCCTTTGCATTCATCTAGCCAATAAGTACTCATGCTATGTTAACAAATAAATTGTTAAAAACAACTAAAAAGATGTCATTAATATTACATTTTTGCATATATGTCTAAGAAATTGACGTTTTCGTAGCTAGGTATCTACGAAAATGTACATTTTCTCATGCATATGAGATTTCCGCATTCATGAATCTGTGAAAATGTCAAATATGTATGAGAAAATGTATATTTTTTCAGACATGTCTAATAATTTTGCAGATTTCTAGTTGTGAAAATATCATGTCTAAGAAAATAGAAAATATATGTTTCTGCATATTTTTTACCAATTAACATACATAAACAATAAAGATTGTAATACAACACAAATTCTTATATGGGATTTTCATGTGTTTGCTTATTACATGGTCGACCTATTGTAATTTTTAGAAACACGACTGAGGTATATTCAAATCTTTCGAACTAAAAGTATAAGTTTAGCTTTTTTTTTCTCTTTCTATTCATAGACATAATTGGTTTCTAGTTCTTGACCTTAGATGCCATGGTTATCCGATTGGTATCTTATGCTTCTAGCTACAAGTAATGGGCAAACACTTGGAAAAAATAGAACTATTTATTCAAAATTCAAATAAAAACTCCAACTTCTCCTTCATAACCATTACATTATCACCATCCTTCATATATTCCTCTTTTGTAATTATTTTAAACTTCTTTCCATTTTGTGATGCTCAACAAACTTCATACAAGAATTTGTTATTAGTTACATTACATAGAGTTGTTGCTTCAATTTTCAATACATGGCATACTTTTGAGTCCAACTTCGAGCCATGGCTTCATACTTGACCTTGTCTATCTTGTACATATGTGCGATTTCGGGAACCAACGGGTCATCTGGGTTCGGATCTGTCAGCAGTGAACATATTGACAACAAAACCTGTATAAACCACAAACCAAAATACTATTAACTTCTTGTTTCAATTGGGTAGTGTCTGAAAGTTTGAGTCTCAACAATCGTAGTGGACAAAACATTAATATTGTCTCCTACACTCTACTGTTCATTAAAAAGTTATAATCTCTCATCCACATAGATAGCCTTTAACCTCAATTCACTCCAATTTTCTATACTTCATTAATGAAACCAATCCAAACTAAATAACTTTTTCGTTATTTTATATTTGATGTTTTATCATTGCTAATGAATTTTTATTCTGTTTAAGACAATAACATCCATATAAAATAAAGTATATCATAATCTAAAACCCTAATTATAATCAGAAAAAATATATATATCATATATTAAAGTAAACATTGACTTCTTAATAAAAATAAATTGTTGCCAAGAAACAAAAATGAAAGTACCATGAACTTAAAGAGATTAGAAATTAACAGGTGGAATCTATATTAACATATGTCAATACTAAGCTCTAATTTAGAGAAAAAATGCAATTTTTTTGTGTATTTTGTTTTCTTAATAAAAATGAATAGCCATATAACTTTTATCAAAAAAAAATGTAAATCAACCAATGAATGCATGCCATGTGGAAAATAGAATAAACATAGTTGCTCCCATGTTTTTTTTTACTTTTTGTTTTCTTTTACGTTTTATTTGTGATGTTGTCGATAAAATATTCTCATATAAACCACATAATAGGCGTTGTGTACCCTTTTCACATCAAGTTCAAAAACAACACTATGAAATAGAAGAAAAAAAAAAAGAAAAGAAAAGAATTAAAACCTTGGATATGGTGAGTGCAGGACTCCATTGATCCTTGAGAATATCAAGACAGATGTTACCATTATTGTTAATGTTTGGATGGAACACTTTGGTCCTAAAAGCAACCTATATATGCATGCATCATCAAAGAACACCATTATCAAATTACCTCATATATAAAAAGAAAACAACTTTGAAGTAGCTATAATATATATATATATATATATATATATATATATATATATATATATATATATATATATATATATATATATATATATATATATATATATATAGAGAGAGAGAGAGAGAGAGAGAGACTTTGTACCTTTGGTGGCTTAAAAGGGTAATCAGGAGGGAAGTGGATGGTAACTTGGAAGACACCACCAGAGTAGGGACTATCATTTGGTCCAATGATGGTCGCTTGCCAATGGAACATATCTTGAGCCACCGGTCCAGCACTACATGAGGCTGGAGGGTCTCTTTGAAGATCCTTGAGCTCTTTCAGAATCCTCCTAGAAGCCATAATTCTATGATGTATGTGTAAGATGAAAGAATACAAATGTGTTTGTGCATGTAGTTGTTGGTTTGGAGATGTATTTATAGGAGAGAGAGTTTGTGGAGAAGGTATAGATTCTATGGGAAATTTGAGTGAAGAACATGATCAAGGTAGGTCAAGAGCAACAAGATTCTTTCTCATCACCTCCATACAATTAATTTCACATCAAATTGGACCCGAATCTTACTTTTTAAAACCATTGAATTTGATACGTGAAGGAGAAAATAGGTATATTTTGTAAGTCCAAGAAATGGCTCTCAAAGGGTCTTACACGAAACGATGATATATTTTTTCATTTACATGGTATTAACTTACATAAATATAGTATTTGTTTTATATTTTTCAAAAGAACGATAATTTGTTTTCACAAGACCCATATATAGTTTCTCAAAAAGAACCAACCCTAATTTGTCACTAATCCATCACTGGTATCTTATTTTGTAATACCTATAACCATTGATTTTACATGCGCATTCTCGTAAAACATGATGTGAGGTGTAAATCATAGCTTAGATTTATGGCATTAGAGATCAATACCTACAACAAACTCGATAAACATATGAATTAAAACTCTTACACTACAGCTACTCAAATTCGAACTCGTACCTTTGATTATTTCTACAATTCTAAAGTCTTAGACATCTTTACATAGGCGTTTAAGCAACTATATCAATTGACCCCACCATATTGCGTATGGGCAACGGGCCAATTGAAAGATAAGGTTCACTCCTCTTAATTTGATCCAGCCGATGATCATGTTCCACTAAAATTCAATCAAATTCTTTCCCCATCGATGAGCATATTCTCCACTAGTGTAAAAGGCAAAAAAGACCATCGCAAATATACTTCTATCAAATTTATACAAACACTACACAATAGAAAGTCTCTATCTTTGACGTCAAAAATACTTGGTGATTAGATATCAAGAAAGCGTCCAACATACCCTACCCATCAACTTAACTTTTATTTTCCCGAATACATAAAAAGATCCATAATGTTATTTTTATGTCCACTAAAACAAATATATTTTCATATTTTAGTTAATTTACTTTTCTCAACAAAATAACCCAAAAAAACACAAGAGAATTGCATGTCATTCTTAATTTCCAGAAACATTAACTGCTATTCCCCCAAAAGCTAACATTTTGTCAGAAATTATAAAAAGTGTTTGGGATTCCATTTTAAACCTCATGTTACACGGTGTTGTGTCGATGACACCATACTTCCAACTCAATGATGTTGACACAATTGTATTTTTTACCATCTTTAAAAAACCTTAATTAGGGTGTGGTGTAGAGAGAGAGGGAGAACAAGATTTTTTCCGTCTTTAGATAGTTACCGTTGGTGAAATATCAGCGGCAAAAAACACATCGTAGGGCGGTGTTCACCGTCAGTAAAAACTGACACATAAGATTGTCAGGGTAAAAATACTACCACACCCCACATTCTTATAAGGATTTTTAGGCAAAATGACCTATTGATTTTTGGTGATGAGAAAATAAGTTTTTAAAGTGTTTGGATTAGTTTTTGTAGTGAAAAGATCAATAACTCAATAAGCTAAATTATGTTTGTCTTATACATTTTTTTAGAAGAATTTGACTTTTACAATCCAAAAAGTTATAAAGAGTTTTGAAAAATTAGCAATTCTTTTTTATTAGAATCTAATTTTTGAAAAGGCTTTTGAGAAATTATTTTAAAGGTTCTTAGGTCATCTATTCACCACTAACCACAATAGTAATGAGTGTCACATCATTACCACATTCAACTACTAAAATTATGGAATACCTACCGCTAAGACCATTCACATTCGTGCAATGTCACTAGGCTTTCAATTGTTCCACATCAGTTTTTACAATAAACTCTACATCAATGCATTAGTAATACTCATTCATAGTGGACCATACTGCTACATCTACAACTATTTAATTAATCAAAAAATTCTTAATATATTATATATTAATTTATAATTTTAGTAATAAAATATATAATATAATAAAAGTTTTATTTTTATTACATAAACATACTTTTATATATATATATATATATATATATATATATATATATATATATATATATATATATATATATATATAAAAGAAGGATAGAATAATGTTTCATTTGCAAGCCTTGCAAGTGTTGCAACTTGCAAGAGATTGGTCTACATGGCCTTTGATTTTTTTTTTTTTGCAAGACCAATTTGCAAGCTAGTGTGGATGCTCTAACACTTCACTCAACATCATTTTTTTAATTCAAAAACACAATGAATTCATTCAATAAAAAACATTACATTAATTTAAAAAACTACATTACTTAAAAAAGATAGAATAAACAAAAACCAAACAAACATTAAAAAAAAAATTAAAAACAAAACAAAAAAAACTAATCTTTGTTCATGTTTTGTTGGTATAAATGTTTAGCATTATCTTCTAGAAGATTGAAACACGTTTCACTATTATGAATTTCAACAACTCGTGCTAAAATTCAATCGTTCTGGGTACAAACTCTTCAATTGGGATAACTACGTCGTTCGTATAATATGTGGAGACCACTCTACCTTCATTTTCAATAAGCATATTATGCATTATAATGCATGCATTTACCAGTGTTTAATTCTATCCTTATCCCAAAGTCATGTAGTGTATTTCATTACATGTCATGTTTGCATCATTGCATGAGAACTCCAAATGCGCTTTTGATATCCTTCCCAGTTGATTCCTGCATTTTTTTAGCAACTTTGCCTTTTCACTTTGCGAAACCGAGTTTGCCTTCATTAATGTAAAATAGTCAAGGTATATCTCATCACAAAAGTAGTAAATATATTTGTACGAATGCTCGTTCACCATGAACGACACATCAGGTGCTTTGTTAGTCAAAATATTGTTGAAAATAGGGGACTTGCCAAGAATATTAGTGTCGTTGCTAGACCCCGCAACTCCAAAGAATGAATTTCATATCCACAAATCATGAGATACAACAGGTTCTAGTATTATACTTTACTCATGTAACAACCCAAATTTCCAATAAAATTTTTCATTTTGAAATAATGAATTCATTTCCATAAGTCATAAAATTCCAATCATAATTGTTTTTCGAAATCCAGAACATTAGATAAGTTATTCATAAAATCATAGTGTCCCAAAATAAGATGCCAGAGAGTGCATGATGCGCCATCACCTCGGGCCCTTGCCCTTAGATCCTGAAGTACTTGAAACAACCAATAAACTGTAATCTAATGCTTTATGAGTTCCCTAGAGCATACCCTACACAATCCACATAATCACATAAACCATATTAGTTATATCAGCTATAAATATCACATAACCCATACATAAAAACATATAAGGATGCCCTGGAAACCCTCCAAGGTCTTACACCGGGTGCCACTGGAACCCCCACGTGGTCTTAATCCACTGCCATGCGAACCCCCACATGGTCTTAACTACCTGCCATGGGAACCCCCCATGGTTTTCACTAACTACCATGGGAACACCCATAAGGTCTTAGTTAACCAAAGAAATATCATGAGAGCTAAACATACAAACATACTAGGATGCCATGGATATCCTCTAAGATCTTACCCGAAATGTCATGGGAACCCCCACATGGTCTTAATCTACTGCCATAGGAACCCCCCGGGGTCTTCCATGAAAATTTCATACCAATATAACACATAATCCACTAATAATCCATATATCACATAATGGGCCAACCTTGGTGCCTTCGAACCATTAGTATGGTGAGGAGACTCACCTCTCAAGAATTGATGAACCAGTAAAATCAAATCCCAACTTACGACTTCGGGCTCAACCGCGTACAACCACCCTACAACTAACTTTAACAAAACCCCGAATTAACAATGATACCCTTGAAGTAAACTTGGTCAACCCTGGTCCAATGTCAAAGTCAACAGTCTAAGTCAACAGTCCATGTTGACCAAACTCATCGAGTGCATCTGGAAACTCGTCGATTTCCTTCAGTGTTCCAAAAACTGGGAAAACCCCTAACCAACTCGCCGAGTTATCTCATAAACGCGTTAAGTTCACTCAGTATCCAGAAGGCAGGGCAACCCGATCCAATTCGTCGAGTTTCCAAGGCAACTCATCGAGTTTTCCCAGTCTTAACATATTCAATCCCTTCCAGTCGAATTTAAAGCCCCAAACTACAGATCTGGTCCCTTAGGGTTAAGATGTCACGTAAAGTTGCTAACTTTACATCCATGCAAGACATCAAACAGCTAAAATTCTCAAACAAAGCTTATCAAGGGACCTAGAGTAGGAAGGAGGGCCAAGACTTGATAAAGTTGGCAACTTTACGTCCACAAAGGCCATGAGATGTCCGGATCTGAAGGCATAACTCCATAACATGCCAAAATCCAAGAATGGTTCCAAAGTAGGCTAATAATGGCCATAAACTTTCAAGGGACAATATCTTGTAAATGAATAGACAAGGTATCGGCTTTATACCTTAATATAGCTGCCACAATAGAGAAATCCTCAGATCTAAAGCTCTTCTCTTCAACTATGCACCACCAGCTTCAACTCCTTCAAGAAACTCAAAGGAAACACACTCTTTTAACTCACACACAATGAAAAATGGGAGATGAGATACGGTTTAGGGTTTCTATGGACTGAGAGGACGATGTGAGAGGCTACCATGCGGTTTAAAGCCTTCAAATAGGGTGCAAACCCTGAAAAAATAGGGTTTTCCTTTCCAGTGTCTACTCGTCGAGTTGGGACCTACGAACTCGTCGAGTAGGCTCTTAATCCCGCGTCCCAAAACGATCCCTACACGACGACTTGGAGCTCTCCAACTCGTCGAGTTCTAGTCCAAAACCTTACAATGTTAAGAAATAAAGGATACCTGAATCGAGTGTTACCACTCACTGATATCACCTCGAGTAAATTAACAGTGCCACACATTTGAAACATTTTCCCATGCAACATGCATACAATCAAGGTTGCCAATCATTCCCGGAAATCCATGCATCTCTTCATGAACCAAATATAATTTCTAAATATCATTTGTAGTATGTTTACGCAAATATTTTTGGTGAAAAACTTCATACACACATGCACAAAACCAATCTACACAATAAAATTGTCGTCATCTCGGATACTTTCAAATACCCGTCGGATGCATTAAAGGCTATAATGTATCCAAAATATCCAAGTGCATCCACACATTTTTGTATACTACTAAAACTCATTCTTCCTCTAGCATCGAGTTTTTGTTAAAAAATAATCATAACAAGTCTCTAAAACATTAATACGTAAAAATGCAACGTTATTTAGACGGAAAAGACGCATGAAGGAGTCATCATTAAAAAAAAACAATTATCAGCAAAGTAATCACGTACCAGTAAGTCATGTGCGGAATGACGATCTCGATTGACAACCGCTCTTGAATTCAAAACAGACAAATTTTCTTCATCATGTATGTATTGCACAACACTAAAGAACGTCGAGATGAATTCTCCCATGTCATTGGAATCGAAATTTTTTAAGAAATCCTTAAATATGTTTTTAAGAGAGTATATGGTTTGAATGTAAAAAGGTTTGTGCAAATTTAGTGTTTATATAGCTAAGGTTTATATATTTAGAAAAAATTAATAAATTCAATTTTTGACCATTGAACGACTAAAAGGGAAGTAATGTTTCATTGGTCCTGATCAATTGTCGAACGCAACACGGAGACCATTAAAATGCCTGACAACGAATGGTTGGAGTGGTGCGTACTGACAATGCTCGTGCCCACATAGACCACAAGCCCTTTCGTCGTTGGTATTGCGGAATGTCTTAAAACTTTTTCTAACTAATTGACTTTTCAAAAAGTCATTAAGTCAATTAGTTGTTTTCAGATAAATCCCAAACACCCTCATAGTGTCGTCAATGGTTTTAGAATTTGTAATTGTTAATCCTCATAAGCTTTTATAATGATAATGTTATTTTTACCATCAACAATAAGTTGAATTTTTGTGGAGATTCCCTTATCTATTCTTATTAATTAAAACGCAAAAGTGAGAATATATTTGTCTACATCTTCATTCTCCACTAATTCAACATCAAAAGAGTTGAAAACGATAAGACGACTTCATCAACACAACATGTAATGGTTGAGGGAATAAGAATAATCGCTCAAATCACAATTAAAATATTACAACTAAAATCACCACAAAAGAATAACAAACAAACACCCATGTGAACAAATCATCAAAGTAAATGCATAAAGAAGATGATAACAAGCATATCATTTAGGCCAACTACAAGATTAGTACATAAAGAGCATCTCCAAGAATCAAAAAGATCAAATACAAATTAATGAATATATGAGAATTCAGAAATGAATCCATCCATAACAATTTTCTTTTGACTTTGTTAGCCTCGATGACTTCCTTTGAAAGAGCGAGAAAAGAGGGGCAAAAAGGTAAAAAAAAAAAAAAAAAAAAAACATAGCTAGGTCTTCTCTCCATTGACCTCACATCCAATCATAATATAGAGCAAGCCTTTTGACCCGCTTTCTTCTTTTTCTTTGACTTTGGAGGGGCAAGAACGACTTTTATCGCAGCATCAAAAACTCCCTTCACATTCTGCCAAATTTAAAAAAAAAAAAAAAAAAAACATATTTTTTATAATAAAGAAACACTAAATTTCTATATTTTTAATATGGAAAAATTATACATGCCTCCTGTGTTTTTGAACTACATTCAATATATTCAGGTGCTCCAATTGTCTTCTTTAGCTCTTCTCCCTATAATAAGTTCAAAAATATTGGAAAAAGGAACTTAAATTAGCAATATAGAAATAGCAATGTACTTTTGTATACTTCTGTATCATAATTTAGACAAATTTTCATAATTGGTCCCTGTAGTTTACAAAATATCGCACTTTGAGGACAACTATGGAAAAAGTCACGCCACTGGTCCCTATGGTTTTGAAATGGTCCTTCTGAGGTTAAAACTAACTTTTCAGCTGCTATTTTTTATGAAAAGACCAATTTACCCTTAAAGTAGATTGCTATTTCTTGCATATATCATAAAGTTTATGGAGTGATAACCTTTACCTGAGCATTAGTTATGGGGGTTGCACCAGGGTGGTCTACGAAGAACTGCTTATCATCCCGAAGATCTATATAGCAAGGGTAATATGGTCATTTACTCACATTTAGACATTAATTTATTCATTAACTCACCGAGTTTTGTCCCAACAAGAACAATCGGGACACCAGGGGCATAATGCTTCAACTCTGGAATCCACTGAGAATTGAAAAAAAAAAAAAAAAAAAAAAAAAAAAAAAAAAAAAAACTCCATTTAATTCAAGACATTTATCAAATGTTTTTTTTTTTTTAAAATGCCAAAATTGTTACCTTTTTGGAAACATTTTCATAGCTGGCTTTGCTGATGAGGGAAAATGCCAAAATGAAAACATCAGCCCCACGATAACTCAATGGTCTTAATCTGTTGTAATCCTCCTGTCCTGTTCACAGAATTTCAATTTTTCATCATTTATATATTAATTAATAAAAATAAAAATATATATATGTATATATAAAGTTGAGTAATTGTTAATTGTTTATAAAGATTTCATAAGTTTACCAGCAGTATCCCACAAGCCAAGATTCACAGTGGCACCATTGACAACGACATTGGCACTGAAATTATCAAATACAGTTGGGACGTAATCCTGTTTATAACACGAACAAGAAACAAAAATTGGGATTCAATTTGAATGTATAAAGATACTATTGGATGTCGTATTCAACAAAAACATAAACAAGTATTCGATAATCTAGATTTTTGTCATAATTCGTGTGATGAGAATCATGAGAGATGAATCCATGATTGTGGATGCAATGATAATTGAGGATAATTGATTTTCCTCGATCTGTAGATGGATATAAACAAATTCCTTCGTACAAATTGAAAATGTCAATCATGGTGAATTTGAAATTGGGAAAGAAGGAGATTAGTAAATTGAGTGAATTCTGGTTTGTTGTTCACCTAAACATAAAACAACATTAGAACAGATAGATAGATTCTTCGTTCTTCATCGTCTAAAACTTCAGACGAAATTCAAAAAATGAACAGAAACTGAAGGCGGTTGATGAAGAGATGATTACCGTGGGGAAGGTGTTACTGGTGTAGGAAATCAAGAGACAGGTCTTCCCGACAGCGCCATCACCGACTGTGACGCACTTTATGAATCTAGAAGCGCTCATATTTCTTCAATTGAGCCTCAGATCTTCTCTTCGCTCAGAAGACCTGATCACGGACTAACACACCAGGTCAAGAAACCCCGTTGTTCGTTTTTCTTCTTCTTCTTCTTCTTCTTCTTCTTCTTCTTCTTCTTCTTCTATCTTCTATTTTCCTCTTCCGATCACTCTGACAAATTCACGGTTGTTTAGCTACAAACAAGAATCGCGTCGACGTTTGTTCAGATAACATTACGAAACAAACAAACCCTAGAGAAATGGAAATGAAAAAGGGGGAAATCGAAAAACAGGAGTAAAGACTTTGTTGAGACAAACGTGAAACAAGAAATGTGGGGAGCAGAAAACCCTAAAGAAAGGGGGTGAACGAATTAACTGGAGATCGATCAACATCTAGAAAGAGATTACCTTATTTTAGCCGGAAAACAATGCCCTTGAAGCGTTCTATGGGTGGTGGAGATGAACTCTCTCTCTCTCTCTCTCTCTCTCTGAATTCTAAATGCTGCTCGTTTGTGTTTTGTTGTGCCAACGAAGATGGGGTTGATTATTGGTTAAATCTTGTTATAAAAATACATGTGTGGAGTGGACCCCTAAATTGGATTTTGTATGAGTAGCACCCAACATAATATTATCAAGAAAAAAACATTCTTTATGAATTTTTTAATTTGGATTCAAATATTTTATTTAGGTTTAAGTATCATTAATTATAAATAATAAGGAAAAATAATTTGTTTTGCCAACGAAGACACAAACCCACCATCACCGTATTCTAAAATAATTAAGAAAAAAAGTAAGCAAAGTTGCTTAAGATTGTGGAATAAAAAAGGGTGATTGGTCTTTTTTTGTATTATAGAATGAAATGATAAGCAAATGGAACATAGTATATGGACAAAGTAATAAACTTTTTGTTATTATTAATAGGGTTTAGGTCATTTTTGGTCATTTAACTTTTGGTTTTGTGTTCATTTAATCACTTAACTCTTTTTAAGTTTTAAAAGGTCATCAAACTTTTAATTTTGTACTCATTTAGTCACTTAATTTTTAGATTTAAGCTCATTTAATCACCTAACTTTTAAAATTGTGCTCGTTTAGTCGCAAAACTTTTGAAAAAAATCTAAAAGTTTAGTGACTAAATAAGCACAGTTTTAAAAGTTAGGTGACTAAATATGAACAAATCAAAAGTTAAGTGACTAAATCAGCACAAAACATAAAGGTTCATTACCTTTTAAAACCTAAAAAGAGTTAAGTGACCAAATGAACAAAAAACCCAAAGTTAAGTGACCAAAAATAATCTAAACCCTTATTAATATTTTTTTCATGTATAATTACTCTTAGTGAAATGAAATGAAATGAATCTTTGATTTATATTGTTTGTTTTTTTTAACAGCAAGATTCAATAGAAAACTACCTACATGCTAGCAGTTTACCGGACATTATGGAAAAAATGATACAAAAGTTAGTTATTATAATTTAAAAGGATAATGACTTAAAAGGTAACATATTATTGGTTTTATATACATTTAATCCCTGTTTTTTTTTTCCACATTTTACTCTTGAACTTGATGTTGTGTGTAATTACGTCCTTATTACCGGTTGATGCCGGTTAAGCCGGTTATTTTGTGTTTTACGGGATTTAAGAAAAATAAAATTAGTTACGTGGCAATTATGTGGCAATTACCCTCTTCCACCCTCATTTATGAAGAAACCTCATTTATGAACGAATATCAGTAGGGTTCTATTCTCTTTATTCTCACAATCCGTTCTTGATCAATGCCTCATTACTCACCCCTCTCTTTTCTCAAAACACCACTCTGATTCAATGGAGGAAAATCAAGCTTTTCCAAAAGTTGATGTAGAATATAATGGTACTTTTGTGCCTAATCCATTAGTGTATTTTGCTCTAGAAGTACTACGACTGAATGAAGATGCAAACGAGTTTGTTTTCTCTGATTTCATCAAATACGTTGAGAAGCTTATCGATTTTCAATGCAAGCATGTGTATTTCTATATACGTGAAGTGAGATTGAGTAAGGAAGTGCAAGCATGTGTATTTCTATATACCTGAAGATGCAAGCATGTGTATTTCTATATACCGGTTGATGCCGGTTAAGCCGATTTTCAATCTAAACACTACAAAAAGAATGTGACTACTCTGAGTTTCTTAAGGTTGTAAATGCTTACAGACATGTGGATGTGTATATTGACCACGATAATGAACCTATATTTGAGTGGATTCAGAAAGAAGAACCAGACAATGAAGAACTTGTATATTCAAAAGAAAATGTCAACTATGTTTTGGCAGATGATGAGAATTGTGAACATGAAGAGGATGAATTTGTTACATCAAGCAAAAGAATCTTCAAAAGAACCTATAATGATAAGTTGTTGAACAAGTTATGCCTAGTAATTGTTGCAGATGAAGATGAAAAAGGCAATGAACTTCCAGTTTTCTACCTTAGGCATGATGCTACTCAGGAATGGAGGAAGATGACGCCTGGACTAGGTATGAGATGTCACAACTAGCAATTTTGGGTCGAGATTGTATACATGTACCAACACTCTTTCCATGTAACTTGTTGAAATAGATTATGGTATGTCAAAGATGAGCATATTTTGAATACATCTATAAGTAAATAGTGTGAGACAAATGCGCAACACTTAGAAAAGAGTCGAGATAAATCAAAATGACCAAAACATAAATTTTAATGTATTGCATCTAGGTGTTCGGCCATGGAAACCCCATGACCAAACACACCTTAAGAATTGGTGAAATGGGCCTCATCAAGACCGAATATCCATAAAGAAGTCCACTAAGGACCGAAATCACCTTAAGAATGGGTGATTTCGGTCAAGTAAAGAAATTTGAAGTGTGTTCGGCCAAATTAAAGTATTTTCCAAGGGAAATAGTTTTCTATTAGGTTTGTAGTACATCAAAGATTCACATGGGAAAGGAAGACTCAGCTTTACACACCTTTATCCAGCAAACAACTATGCAAAACATTCCATTAACCATCAAATATCAATACCCAACCTTTTCGTTTAAGTCACGTCCAGAAGAACATATCATCCATTCTCCTGTCTTCATTCTTCTATGACTCTTTCTACTTCATCTCCATTTAACAAAGTTCTTCAAAAATAAGCAAGGTCCTCCTCAAAGCAATTATCATCTAAGTGGTCCTAGAGAATTTGTGTGACAACCTGAAATTTTTTGCTTTGAAAGCTCAGTCAGTTAACTCAACTCAGTGACAGAATCGCTCCTGCTAACATTTGGCATTGTTTAGAGCCTGTTTGAGTGTTTTGAGCCTAGTACACTTAAGGAATAAGTGTTAGAAAGTATTTGCTAAAGCCATAGTACAAAATTCAAGCCCTAAACTCCATCTTGTGGAGTTTACGACCGTAAACATTGAGTTTACAGGCGTAAACTCATGTAGGCCGTGAATTCCCACTTATATATATGAGTCTTGATCATTTCTAGCCATTTCTCACATTTCAAACCCAAGAACTTGAGTTTTCTCTCAAGTATCATCGGGTTCTTCATCCCCGATCTTCAAAAATCGTAAGTGTTCTTTCTCTAGTTTGTTGTTATTCCTTCTTAACTAGCATCATCTCATGATTTCATCCATGAAAATCATGTTTGTTTAGATCTTCAAGTTTCACCAAGAACACCAAGAACACACACTAGTGTTCTTGGCCAAGATTGACCATTTCAAGCCTCTATATCGTAAGTGCTCTTCCATACACTTGATATCTAGTTAGGAATCATGCTTAGGGACTTGAAAACATCACCAAACTCATCATCTAGAAAGTTTACGACCCAAGAGTAAACACCCTTGGCCGTAAACTCCATGAATGGTCAAAATGTGGACCTTAAACCCATCAATGCTCTTATTTAACCTTAGAGCACTTGAAACCTTGAGACTCTTACCTTTAGGACCCTAAAAGTGACCAATTAGAGAGTTTACGGCTAAGAGTAAACTCCCTTGGGCCGTAAACTCCTCAACACTCTCCAATGAGTGGGTCTTTCTCATCCTTATGTAGAGTAAAAGTCCCTCAAGCTTCCCTAGCCTTCAAAACGACACTTATGCATGTTTGACCATGAGTTTACGGTTGTAAACTCTATTTGGCCGTAAACCCATGGTAGTAAACTCATGTGGTTCATCCATATGGTCCGTAACACTCCTTAATCCAATCACATGTGATTCAACACTTCATTCCAAGTGTTTCCTAGTCCCGTGAGGTGTTTCCTTTCCTTTCGTTACCTCTAAACCCTATATTTATGTCAATATATGTCATTTAGGACTTGTTAAGTATCGGGACATCATTCGTGGAGCTTCTCATCCTTACACGCATACCCGTTTGAATCACCCACATCTGGTGAGTTCATACCCCGTAATGAATCTTTTAAACTGTTTTAAATGCTTTTAGGGGGGGGGGGGAATACAAGTTGAACACAATTTATAATTGTGTAATTGTTTGTTAAACATCTTTTAAAGGATTACTTATGTCTTTTATAAGTAATCAAAACATTTCAAAAGATCTTTTAAAGTTATGTTACTTTTTAGTTTAACAAAACTCTATTTTAAAGTACAAGCATAACTTAGTAGTAAAACGAGTCTTTTCAACAACAGTTCAAGTTAAACACTAGTAAACTATAATGGGTATAGTTTAGAGATTCAGTTCATACTAGATATAATACACGATAACATAAGAGAACACACAATAAAGAGAAACAGGGAGGAAGATACAATACACGATGACAGTAAGAACATACTATACAAAACAAATATAATAAGGTGTTATAGCATGGGACAACTACATGATCTAATTATACCAATGAATCACTAACGCATTGTTCTAAACAAAAGGTGATAGTTATATTGGGTATACATGATCACATAACTTTAATGTGGATATTACGGCCTAGCAATTCGTTGCGGAAGCCACTCTTGATTTCCATAATCTCTTGTAGGAAGAACGTATAGTATGGGAATTACTTATCACATTATGACCTTAATAAAACAAATATTTTTTAAGGTAATTAGTACGATCAATTTGTCATTTATAAGACAACTGAGTATTTATATTTTCCCATTACTTTCATATAGTGACAGTGCCACTTGAAAGTTAATGCAAACTAATTTCAAGTCAAGATAGTTATAAACTAGGGAAAACTTACATTTTTACAAGTGAAAAACAAGAACAGTCAGGTCTAGTACATTTAGTAGAAAGGGACCATAATGCTAACCTTATGATTCCTTAATGTATACATCAAAGAGATATATATTATTAATATCTGATAGGTAATAGGATGTGTGCTTTCTACTTCATTTCATGTTCCTTGTTTGGTTGTGGGCTTAGAGCGGATTCACCCGGCCTATTATCCATTCAATATTAGTTATATATATGTTTTGTATACATTAAGTCATCATAAGGGGTACCATGTATGGGTCAGGTCATAGGACAATAATTCAATGCACAGTTTTCTAGTACAAAACATACTTTTCAAACAGAACATTCGGTATCAAAACTAGAAACTTACCAGTAAAGGGTTGAATCCATATTATTAAACCGTCATTTTAAAGGACCTTAAGTAGTTAACTCTACAATACCTTAGTTTATACATTCAAGGTTATATATAATTAATATACAATAGGTAGTTGGATGTGTGCCTTCTGCCTCATTCCCTGTTCCTTGTTTGGTTGTGGGCTTAGGGCAGATTCACACAGTTAACTATCTGTTCGATATTAGATTATATATAACTAGTATAAACTAAGTAATTTTAGAAGGAACCAATGCGGTCACTATTTTATTATAAGAAATAAGGGTTTTCTTAAAGAATCTTTTCATAAATTATAAAGGAACTATTACAGTTAACTTCGTGAGTACCAAGGGAATACACCAGGTTTTACATACAACAAGGATCTAACAACCAATGAGATGTGTGTCATCCGCCTCATTCCCTGTTCCTTGTTTGGTTGTGGGCTTAGGGCAGATACACACAATTGATTGCTTGTTTACTCTGAGTTTTATATAACTTGTATCCATTTAGTACTCATAGAAAGGATTGTAGAGTCATTGTTACTTATCTTTCATCAAAGTAGGAAATATAGGATTTTCTGGAGGAACAGGCGAACTTTTCTAAACATAACTTACACTTTACATAACTTATAACTCACTACATTTTACAAAAACTTTCTACAACTTTCATACATCACTAAAATCTTATGAACTCACCAGCTTAATTGTTGATAAACTCTTTCAAATAACTTGTATTCTCAGGAAAATAGTAGACAGGTACTCACGCTGGGAATTCAGAAGATGGAGTAGTATAGCTCCAAGTATTGTTTTGTTATTTGCTTATGTACTCTATGTTTTGTGAACACACACATTGTAAACACTTTCTTTATAATGAAATGGTTGTTCATTACTTTTCTTACTATGATACATGTCTTGTGATACTAAACGTGGCGTCCTACACCCCCGAACGTTTTCGCCATTCTGGTTTTGGGGTGTGACAATTTGGTAAGCCATTTCAAAATCCTCTAGTGTTCTTACACCTTAGTATGTAAATTTCATCTCATTTACACATCCATTTTCGTGTGTATGAACCTAGAACACTATCAATTTTCAAGTGACCTTCAAGTTATAGAAGGCTAGGTTCAACAACTTCTTTCTTCTTCTTCCTACAACTCACGAAATCTTCAAGGTGAGCTTCATACCCCACTATTTTCATGTTTTTCATCCTTTTCGAGGGGAATACAAGTCAAGACTTGTTTAAATCTTTAAATATTTGCATGCACTTGTATGTTTATGTGACTATGTGTGTTGAAATGTTAATTAATTCATGTTAACACTCCATAAACTTGAGATTTTACAAATCTTGGTTGTTAGATATAAAGTTATGTTTAAATAAGTTCACATATTTTGGTATTATGTTGAAGAAGAAATAAGTTACTAAGTAAAAATGGTTTTTAGTATGTGTTAAAAATCAAAGAAAATGTCATAACATATTTGGTTGTAAAAGCTTGAAAGATGGTGAAAATATGAGAGTTACACACAAAGTGGTTAATTTTTGGTTTTATATATTTTCACCACTAATACTTGTACAAATATTGAAACACAATAAATCTCATGGATTTATATGAGATTTTGTGGAATTTTTGACATATTATAGTCACAAAAAAATAGAATATTTTTGTTTACAAAACTCTCAAATAAAATTTTGGGTATGTTAAAACACACCACAAAACTTGGTTATTTTTCTAAATAAACTATTTTTACTAGTAAAATAGTCGTAATATATTGTCATCTTTTGCTAGTTAGAATACTTAAAGGATTATACTATTTACACAAAGGATATTACAATTAGATGAATTCATTAATGATTATTTATAAAAATCGTTATAAATAATTGAACTAAAATGGTATACAAACCAAAAGTTTTATGACAGAAAATTTAGTGTAAACATGTTAAGGCACTTGTGAGACTCTCCTTCGTCATACCTACCTAGTGTACACCGTAA